AGGGAAAAACAGACTGAGACCTGGATCTCTTTTACGGCTGTGCCCTGTGTAAACATGTTGACATGTACAGTTTTAGACATACAGACAAGAACATTTCAAACATACAAAACAAAAACACAATTCAACAGAAACAATCACAGACAACATCATATTGATCCTCCATGACATTTTTAAAATGGGCAAGGGACACCAGAGTGTCTAACTTAAGTTGGATCTGCAGTTTGTTCCATAAATAAGGTGCAAAGGAACTGAAGGCAGTCCTACCCAACTCTGTGGAGACCACAGGAGTCTGTAATGTAATCCACATCTGTGATCTGGTTTTAAAATTAGTATATCTAGTGGAAATTAATGATGATATACAGTGGGGGGAAAAAAGTATTTAGTCAGCCACCAATTGTGCAAGTTCTCCCACTAAAAAAGATGAGAGAGGCCTGTAATTTTCATCATAGGTACATGTCAACTATGACAGACAAATTGAGAAAAAAAATTCCAGAAAATCACATTGTAGGATTTTTAATGAATTTATTTGCAAATTATGGTGGAAAATAAGTATTTGGTCACCTACAAACAAGCAAGATTTCTGGCTCTCACAGACCTGTAACTTCTTCTTTAAGAGGCTCCTCTGTCCTCCACTCGTTACCTGTATTAATGGCACCTGTTTGAACGTGTTATCAGTATAAAAGACACCTGTCCACAACCTCAAACAGTCACACTCCAAACTCCACTATGGCCAAGACCAAAGAGCTGTCAAAGGACACCAGAAACAAAATTGTAGACCTGCACCAGGCTGGGAAGACTGAATCTGCAATAGGTAAGCAGCTTGGTTTGAAGAAATCAACTGTGGGAGCAATTATTAGGAAATGGAAGACATACAAGACCACTGATAATCTCCCTCGATCTGGGGCTCCACGCAAGATCTCACCCCGTGGGGTCAAAATGATCACAAGAACGGTGAGCAAAAATCCCAGAACCACACGGGGGGACCTAGTGAATACCTGCAGAGAGCTGGGACCAAAGTAACAAAGCCTACCATCAGCAACACACTACGCCGCCAGGGACTCAAATCCTGCAGTGCTAGACGTGTCCCCCTGCTTAAGCCAGTACATGTCCAGGCCCGTCTGAAGTTTGCTAGAGTGTATTTGGATGATCCAGAAGAGGATTGGGAGAATGTCATATGGTCAGATGAAACCAAAATAGAACTTTTTGGTAAAAAACTCAACTCGTCGTGTTTGGAGGACAAAGAATGCTGAGTTGCATCCAAAGAACACCATACCTACTGTGAAGCATGGGGGTGGAAACATCATGCTTTGGGGCTGTTTTTCTGCAAAGGGACCAGCACGACTGATCCGTGTAAAGGAAAGAATGAATGGGGCCATGTATCGTGAGATTTTGAGTGAAAACCTCCTTCCATCAGCAAGGGCATTGAAGATGAAACGTGGCTGGGTCTTTCAGCATGACAATGATCCCAAACACACCGCCCGGGCAACGAAGGAGTGGCTTCGTAAGAAGCATTTCAAGGTCCTGGAGTGGCCTAGCCAGTCTCCAGATCTCAACCCCATAGAAAATCTTTGGAGGGAGTTGATAGTCTGTGTTGCCCAGCGACAGCCCCAAAACATCACTGCTCTAGAGGATATCTGCATGGAGGAATGGGCCAAAATACCAGCAACAGTGTGTGAAAACCTTGTGAAGACTTACAGAAAACGTTTGACCTGTGTCAATGCCAACAAAGGGTATATAACAAAGTATTGAGAAACGTTTGTTATTGACTAAATACTTATTTTCCACCATAATTTGCAAATAAATTAATTAAAAATCCTACAATGTGATTTTCTGGATATTTTTTCCTAATTTTGTCTGTCATAGTTGGCATGTACCTATGATGAAAATTACAGGCCTCTCTCATCTTTTTAAGTGGGAGAACTTGCACAATTGGTGGCTGACTAAATACTTTTTTCCCCCACTGTATATGGAGGTACTTTTAAAATAAGTGCTTTATAAATAAACAAGAGAGCATGTTGCTCTCGCCTCACAGATAGAGAGGCCCAACCCACATGTTGATATAGGAAACAGTGATGAGTTTTGTAACTATCACCCGTGATAAACCTGAGTGCACAATGGTAAATAGCATCCAGTGGTTTTAATGTGTTTGTCGATGCATGCATATAGATAATATCACCATAATCTAAAACGGACATAAAAGTAGCCTGCACAATTTGTTTTCTATTTACGGAGGACAGACAAGCCCTGTTTCTGTAAAGGAACCCTATCTTGAATTTGAGCTTTTTTCCTAATTCAGTAACATGTTTTTTAAAAGAAAGCCTATCATCTAACCATAACCCTAAGTATTTATATGCAGAGACCTGTTTGATTTGAGTACCATCCAAGCTAGTGATTACAAAAGTGTTTCTAATTGAGAGTTTAGGCCTAGAAAAAAACATGACATTTGTTTTCTTAGCGTTTAAAACAAGTTTAAGCTGTAAAAGAGACCCCTGTAGTATCCTAAAATCAGACTCCAACTGCATTAAAGCTTGGTCCGCTGTTGGAGCAATAGAGTACATCACTGTGTCATCTGCATATAAATGGAATTTACAATATCTGACATCATCACCAATGTTGTTTATATAAAGTGAGAACAATAGTGGGCCAATTATTGAACACTGAGGGACCCCTGATGCTAGGTGCTTGTTATGTCAGTGGTTTTATGTCAGTTGGAAAGAAAGGAATCTATTTTAAACTTTGGGAAATATGTCTCTTTTAGTTGAAGTCTGTTCAGTTGAACACAGGTTTCTTTGTGTGTAATATCATTTGTTTAGTGAAAAGCAAGAGCTGGCTAGTAGATGTGGTGACTAACGGCGAGTAAACTGTAGGCTATAAAGTAGGAATAAAGAGAGTCACACTCTATATAGTATATAAGTTCCCAGTAATGTATTGGGTAAATAAACTATTGGGTAATACATTAATGGGAGTAATATCATTTGCTATCAATTATCAGTCAATTAAATCATGATATCATTCTAGAGAGGAGTTCATTTATATTTTGTGCCACATGACTTTGTGCCACATGACTTTTGTGCCACATGATGTTTTAGCCTCCCGAGTGGCGCAGTGGTCTAAGGCACTGCATCGCAGTGCTAGCTGTGCCACTAGAGATCCTGGTTCGAATCCAGGCTCTGTCGTAGCCGGCCGCGACCGGGAGACCCATGGGGCGGCGCACAATTGGCCCAGCGTCGTCCAGGGTAGGGGAGGGAATGGCCGGCAGGGGATGTTGGTAGAGCATGGCGTTTGCAACGCCAGGGTTGTGGGTTCGATTCCCAGGGGGGGGAATCGAACCCAGTATGAAAAAATAAAAAAATATAATGTATGCACTCACTAACTGTAAGTCGCTCTGGATAAGAGCGTCTGCTAAATGACTAAAATGTAAATGTAAATGTAGAAGATATCACCACACCTCTGCATGTTTTAGCAGATATCACCACACCTCTGCATGTTTTAGCAGATATCTCCACACCTCTGCATGTTTTAGCTGATATCACCACACCTCTGCATGTTTTAGCAGATATCACCACACCTCTGCATGTTTTAGCAGATATCTCCACACCTCTGCATGTTTTAGCAGATATCTCCACACCTCTGCATGTTTTAGCAGATATCACCACACCTCTGCATGTTTTAGCAGATATCTCCACACCTCTGCATGTTTTAGCAGATATATCCACACCTCTGCATGTTTTAGCAGATATCACCACACCTCTGCATGTTTTAGCAGATATCACCACACCTCTGCATGTTTTAGCAGATATCACCACACCTCTGCATGTTTTAGCAGATATCTCCACACCTCTGCATGTTTTAGCAGATATCTCCACTCCTCTGCATGTTTTAGCAGATATCACCACACCTCTGCATGTTTTAGCAGATATCACCACACCTCTGCATGTTTTAGCAGATATCACCACACCTCTGCATGTTTTAGCAGATATCTCCACACCTCTGCATGTTTTAGCAGATATCTCATTTTTACATTTTTAGTCATTTAGCAGACGCTCTTATCCAGAGCGACTTACAGTTAGTGAATACATTTTTTTTTTTTTTATACTGGCCCCCCGTGGGAACCGAACCCACAACCCTGGCGTTGCAAACGCCATGCTCTATCAACTGAGCTACATCCCTGCCGGCCATTCCCTCCCCTACCCTGGACGACGCTGGGCCAATTGTGCGCCGCCCATGAGTCTCCCGGTCGCGGCCGGCTGCGACAGAGCCTGGATTCGAACCAGGATCTCTAGTGGCACAGTTAGCACTGCGATGCAGTGCCTTAGACCACTGCGCCACTCATCTCCACACCTCTGCATGTTTTAGCAGATATCGCCGAAGACAAATGCCATCGACGATACCCGCTTAATACATTTTTAGTAGCGTTTCGGGTAATGGCAGTATTAAAACATATTTTGAGAAATATTGGAAGGATATCAACCAAAATGGCGAGTCTTTTATTAAAGCTGATAGTATTCAGAATACTACAGTGCGTATCAACAGTGATTGACCATTTAACCGGTAAAGTACAGTGGAATTCAATAGACTCCCTTTTCAGAAGGTGCTTTATTTTCAACTAACATTACAAGAGATTTCCAATGCCCAAACATTTTCTTTATTTTCTGGGGGACACCTTTAAAACCTTTTATAAACTGGGTGGTTCGAGCCCTGAATGCTGATTGGCTGACAGCCGTGGTATACCACGGGTATGACAAAACATTTATTTTCACTGCTCTAATTAAGTTGGTAACCAGTTTATAGTAGCAATAAGTCAGCACGGGGGTTTGTGGTATATTGCCAATATACCACGGCTAAGGGCTGTATCCAGGCACTTGCGTCGTACACAAGAACAGCCCTTAGCCGTGGTATATTGGTCATATACCACAGCCCCTTGGGCCTTATTGATTAAATATAGTGCTATTCAGTTCAGTATGTAATTGATCAGGGTTCAGGCTGAAAATTGAGAGCTTTTAAGATGGATTCATGTTGGTTGCATCCGGTACTGTGCAAGGTTGAAGCATATCCAAAGCCAACGGTTCCTCTACTCCACAGAAAGAAAAACCATGCAGAGTCGGCGAGGGAAAATAAAATGGACTGTGCCAGAAACTCCTCTGGCCTCGCTGAGTCTGAGATGGGCCAGTGGAAGGGTGAGGGTGAGGGCAGGGTAAGGTGGTGGTGGTAGTAGTGAATGAGGGCTGAGGGGTGAGGGGGAGGGCAGGGTAAGGCCTTACCTTCCTGGACCGCCTGGAAAGGGTTGTTCCCGTCCACAAACTCCACAGAGATGGTGATCTTCTCCGTCTCCAGGATCTCGTTGTTGAGGTTGAGGTCCGCCACAGCCATGCGGAACACCTCGTCATCCTTCCTGGCAGAATCATCAAAGATGGCCCCTATGGAGAGGGAGGGGGGAGAGGGAGGGGGGGGGGGCGAGCGAGAGAGGGAGAGAGAGGGGGGCGTAGAGAGAGAGAAGGAGAGAGAGAGAAGGAGAGAGAGGGGGGCGTAGAGGGAGAGAAGGAGAGAGAGAGAAGGAGAGAGGGAGGAAGGACAATGATGAGTGATCATCGTGACTAAGGAAATAATCAAACGAGCCTCTTAGGTCTCATACTGTAAATGTGACTACAAACCTATAGAACCAATAGAACCAATAGAAATCAATAGAACCACTAGAAATCAATATAATCTATTGAACCAATAGAACCAATAGAAATCAATAGAACCAATAGAAATCAATAGAACACAACAATCCATTTGGTGGGGAAAAGGAAGGTATGCCATAGTCAATGGATGGATACAATACAGGGAACATTCCATCTACATGCTGCATCCATCTACAATCCAAATTAAACCAGAAGATAACAACCTGCACCTTTTCTATATATCTCTTCTTCTGGCCTTGCATTTCCTCTCTGGTTGTTGCCTGTAGCAAGTAACTGTTTAAAACTGCTCACTGAAGCAATGCTAAATGCATTTTGCTGACCAGCAAATAGTCCTCATTTAGAAATAGATGTGTATGATACGGATTGGTGATTCAAACAGTAAACTGACCAATTTGGAACTATCCTCACATGTTGAGGCCAAATGCAGGTCAGTGTGATATTTGTTCACACTCTTCACTGACCTATCAGATCATCAAGTAAATGGTGCTAGAAGGACCGTGGAAAACTACATCCTGAGTATTGCAGTAGCCTATTATGAACTCTAAAACACATTGAGGGACAAAGTCAGTCCTTGTATTTGTATTTGTATTTATTAAGGACCGCCATTAGTTCCTGCCAAGGCAGCAGCTACTCTTCCTGGGGTCCAAACGAGATTAAGGCGACTACATCACAAAATAAAACAGTACATTACACAACAGATTATTACACACTACCCTACCCCAACATATCTACAATACAACACAGGAGTTACACCACGACAGCACCCACAACAGAGCGACAAGACAACACAGGAGGACACCACGACGCGACCACAACAGAGCGACAAGACAACACAGGAGGACACCACGACGCGACCGCAACAGAGCGACAAGAAAACACGGAGGACACACAACCGACCACAACAGAGCGACAATACAACACAGGAGGACACCACACGACGCAACAAGCTACAAGAAACAACACATTAACACACGACCGACCACAACAGAGCGACAAGACAAACATTAGGACAACATACGCGACCACAACATACTACAAACAAACACATTATTACACCACACTACTCTACCACACATATCTACAATACAACACATTATTACACCACTACTCTACCCCAACATATCTACAATACAACACATTATTACACCACTACTCTACCACAACATACAGTATCTACCATTCAAAATCCATAATACAGCAATATAACAATATTAAAATGTACTTGTGTGTAGATTGCGTGTGTATGCCCAGTGAATGCACCAATATGTAAGTCGCTCTGGATAAGAGCGTCTGCTAAATGCCGTAAATGTAAATGTATGCCTGTGTGTGTGTGTGTGTGTCTCCCCACAGTCCGCACTGTTCCATAATCTGATTTTACTGTTTGAGTTACTTGATGTGGAATAATGGTCCATGTAGTCATGGCTCTGTGTAGTGCTGTGTGTTTCCCATAGTCTGTTCTGCACTTGGGGACTGTGAATAGACCTGTGGTGGCATGTCTTGTGGGGTATGCATGGGTGTCTAAACTGTGTGCTAGTCGTTTAAACAGACAGCTCGGTGCTTTCAAAATGTCAATACCTCTCACAAAGGCAAGTAGTGATGCAGTCAATCTCTCCTCTACTTTGAGCTAGGAGAGATTGACATGCATTTTATTGATGTTAGCTCTCGGTGTACATTTAAGGGCCAGCCATGCTACTCTGTTCTGAGCCAATTGTAATTTGCTGTAATATCTCTCTTTGTGGCACTTGATGATATGACTGGGCAGTAGTCCAGGTGCATCAAAAATAGGGTCTGTGTGACTTGTTTTGTTGATAGCAATGTCAAGAAAGCAGAGCAGTGCTTTGTTATGGCCAGACCTCTCCCCATCTTAGCTACCGTTGCATCGATATGTTTTGACTAAGAAGTTTAGTCTCCTCAACGTGCAAAATTTCCACATTATTCAATAACATATTTAATTGAGGTTTAGGGTTTAGTGAATGATTTGTCCCAAATACAATCCTTTAACCTTTTTTTAAATATTTAGGACAAGCTTATTTCTTGCCACCCATTCTAAAACTGACTGCAGCTCTTTGTTAAGTGTTGCAGTGATTTCACTTGCTGTGGTAGCTGATGTGTATAGTGATGAGTCATCCGCATACATAGACACATAGGCTATATTAAAAGCCAGTGGCAGGTCATTAGTAAAGATTGAAAAAAGTAAGGGGCCTAGAGAGCCGCCCTGGGGAATGCCTGACTCGACCTGGATTATGTTGGAGAGGCTTCCATTAAAGAACACCCTCTGTGTTCTGTTAGACAGGTAACTCTCGATCCACGATATAACAGGGGATGTGAAGCAGGTAACTCTCGATCCACGATATAGCAGGGGGTGTGAAGCCATAACACGTACGTTTTTCAAGCAACACATTATTATTGATGTCAAAGGCTGCACCGAAGTCTAACAAAACAGCTCCCACAATCTTCTTATTATCATTTTCTTTCAGCCAATCATCAGTCATTTGTGTAAGTGTTGTGCATGTTGAGTGCCCTTCCCTATAAGCATGCTGAAAATATGTTGTTCATTTGTTTACTGTGAAATAGCATTGTATCTGGTCAAATAATGTTTTTCTCCAAAAGTTTACTAAGGGTTGGTAACAGGCTGATTGGTCGGCTGTTTCAGACAGTGAAGGGTGCTTTGCTATTGTTGGGTAGTAGAATGACTTTTGCTTCCCTCCAGGCCTGAGGGCACACACTTTCCTGTAGGCTTAGATTGAAGAGATGGCAAATAGGAGTCATTTTCCATCCAAGTTGTCAGACCCAGATGGCTTTTCATTGTTGATAGACAACAATATTTTTTCGCCTCTTCCGCACTCACTTTCTGGAGCTTTGTCTTTCATAATTTGATGAGTTATGCATGTTCAGAATTTGTTATTGTCATCTCATGCCTAAGTTTGCTTATCTTGCCAATGAAAAAGTATTTAAAGTAGTTGGCAATATCAGTGGGTTTTGTGATGAATGAGCCATCTGATTCAATGAATGATGGAGCTCTGTTTTACTTTTTGCCCAAAATTTCATTTAAGGTACTCCAAAGCTTTTTACTATCATTATTTATGTAATTTATCTTTGTTTCAAAGTACAGTTTCTTCTTTTTCTTGTTTAGTTTAGTCACATGATTTCTGAATTTACAGTACCTTTGCCAATGGGCTGTGCAGCCAGACTTATTTGCCATTCCTTTTGCCTAATCCCTCTCAACCATACCATTTTTCAATTCCTCATCAATCCATGGGGATTTAACAGTTTTTACAGTCATTTTGTATGCTTATTAGTAACTGGAATAAGCAATTTCATAAATGTGTCAAGTGCAGCGTCTGATTGCTCCTCATTACACACCACAGACCAGCACATATTCTTTACATCTTTAACATAGGAATCACTACAAAACGTATTGTATGACCTCTTATACACTGTATTAGGCCCAGCCTTTGGAACTTTGGTTTTCCTAGATATGGCTACTATATTATGATCACTACATCCGATGGATGTGGATACTGCTTTAAAGCAGATTTCTGCAGCATCAGTAAAGATGTGATCAATACATGTGAATGATTTAATTATTGTGCTGGTTTGTAACTACCCTGGTAGGTTGACTGATAACTTGAACCAGGTTGCAGGCACTGGTTACAATTTGAAGCTTTTTCTTGAGTGTACAGCTTGATGAAAGCCAGTCAATATTTAAGTCACCCGGAAAATATACCTCTCTGTTGATATCAAATACATTATCAAGCATTTCACACATATTATCTAGATACTGACTGTTAGCACTTGGTGGTCTATAGCAACTTCCCACAAGAATAGGCTTTAGGTGAGGCAGGTGAACCTATAGCCATATTACTTCAACAGCATTTGACATGTGATCCTCTCTAAGCTTTACAGGAATATGATTCTGAATATGAATGTTATCTGTTACTAGCAAGTTATCGATGTCATGAACCTTGTTTTTTAGGTATGTTAATGTGAGCTATTTTTAGCACTTTTCTTGGTTGATTGTTTTTATTGCTTTATTGCTGGGAGGCTTATCAGAAGAAGACATATTTATGTTTGAACTGATAGTTGAGGGTGAACTGCACACAGTGGGCTTCCTACTAGGGTAAACTGCACATAGTGGGCTTCTTACTAGGGCAAACCGTCTCAGTGCTAACAGTATAACGGGCTCCCGAGTGGCGCAAGTGGTCTAAGGCACTGCATCTCAGTGCTTGAGGCGTCACTATTCCAGGCTGTATCACAACCGGCCGTGATTGGGAGTCCCATAGGGCGGCGCACAATTGGCCCAACGTCATCCTGTAGGCTGTCATTGTAAATAAGAATGTGTTCTTAACCAACTTGTCTAGTTAAATAAAGATAAAAAATCTAATAAAATAACTCTGGTTCATATGCGCATGATTACTGCTGATAATGGTTGTTGGATTGACAGAGGCATTCAGGGGAGTTAATGGAACATAAATTAGGTTACTTCTATTATGACTGCCCAACACCCCTGGGACAATGTCCATTTGCAGCAGCACAATGACAACTCAGCGACACAATGGTAGGGATTATCTGAACAGGGCTTGGATCCCTGAGAAGTCATTGTCTCAATGCTGCCTTGAAATGCACAGACGGGGTCCAGGTACCAAGATGACCATGCACACGTCAAGTCAGACAATCCACTCCCATTGCTATCCCCTCATTTAGTGCCAAACACACTTTGCAAATGTTTGCAGATTTTTGTTCATATTCCTACTGCTAGACATTTGTATATGGAAGATCACACGCGAGCTAACACTGTTTATTTACATTTTCAGGTACATTGTAATCCAAGAAATGTAGGCCTAAGGGGTATACTACAAAGCAGGATCAATGAGTTCCCCAGCTAACCTTGATAAACAAGCATAAATAACTATTTATTTTATTGTTCATTAAGAAAGCTGAACTTGGATATGTGTTCTTGTTTGTCGAGTCAATTAGACCATGCCAATTTCAAGCTCATCAAAAAAAAAAAAATATATATATATATATATATATTATTTCAGAATATTTAGGAAAGTGAACTGGCTAACTCATTGATCCTACGTTGTAGTATACCCCTTTGCTCACCACCCCAGATGGTTTGTGGACAGGTTGCTGGAAAACATGTGGCGGTCAGTCCACATACTGTAGTTATCCAGCAGGTGCCCACACTCGCTCAGTAATTAGAATGCTCTATGTTTCCATCCCTCATTTAGCACCAAACACCCTTCGCAAATGTTTGTTTATGTTTTTTTATGTTACTTCATGACTGTGTTGGTGTGTGTGGACCATGATAGATACTTAGTGATGTGGACACTGAGGAACTTGATGCTCTCGACCGGCTCCACTACAGCCCCTGTCGATGTGAATGGGGGCGTTCCCGGCCCTCCGTTTCCAGTAGTCCACGATCAGCTCCTTTGTCTTGCTGACGTTGAGGGAGAGGTTGTTGTCCTGGCACCACACTGTCAGGTCGCTGAACTCCTCCCTATAAGCTGCCTCATTGTCATCGGTGATCAGGCCTACCACCATCGTGTTGTCAGCAAACTTAATGATGGTGTTGGAGTTATGTGAGGCCACACAGTCATGGGTGAACAGGGAGTACAGGAGGGGACTAAGCACGCACCCCTGAGGGGCCCCAATGTTGAGGGTCAGCGTGGCAGATGTGTTGTTGCCTACCCTCAACACCTGAGGGCGGCCCATCAGGAATTCCAGGAGCCAGTTGCAGAGGGAAGTGTTCAGTCCTTAGCTTGGTACTATGGCGTTGAACGCTGAGCTGTAGTCAATGAACAGCATTATAGTGCAGTGAAAAAGTATTTGCCCCTTTCTGATTTTCTCTATTTTTGCATATTTTTAATATTGAATGTTATCAGATCTTCAACCAAAACCTAATATTATTAACAAATATTAGAGTTTACACACAAAAAAAAGATAGTTATTTTATTTATTTAATTAACAAAGTTATGCACCACCCAATTCCCCTGTGTGAAAAAGTAATTGCCCCCTTACACTCAATAACTGGTTGTGCCACCTTTAGCTGCAGTGACTGCAACCTGTAGATGTTGATCAGTTTCTCACATCGCTGTGGAGGAATTTTGGCCCACTCTTGCATGCAGAACTGCTTTAACTCAGCGACATTTGTGGGTTTTCAAGCATGAACTGCTCGGTTCAAGTCCTGCCACAACATTTTAATGGAGATTAGGTCTGGACTAGGCCATTCCAAAACATCAAATTTGTTGCTTTTGGATAATTGTCTTGCTGCATGACCCAGCTGCGCTTCAGCTTCAGCTCAAAGACGGATGGCCTGACATTCTCCTGTAGAATTCTGATACAGAGCAGAATTTATGGTTCCTTCTATTAAGGCAAGTCGTCCAGGTCCTGAGGCAGCAAAGCATCCCCAAAGCATCACACTACCATCACCATGCTTGACCGTTGGTATGAGATTCTTGCTGTGGAATGCAGTGTTTGGTTTTCGCCAGACATTATAATAATATAATAATATGCCATTTAGCAGACGCTTTTATCCAAAGCGACTTACAGTCATGCGTGCATACATTTTTACGTATGGGTGGTCCCGGGGATCGAACCCACTACCTTGGCGTTACAAGCGCCGTGCTGTACCAGCTGAGCTACAGAGGACCACATGGGTCCCATCTCATCCAAAACATTTACTCAAGTTTTCCAAAAGCACCTGGAAGCACCTGTATGATCATCAATACTCTTGGAAGAATGTTCTATGGACAGATGAGTCAAAAGTATAACTTTTTGGATGACATGGGTTCGAGTTATTGTCAGATTTGCCAAATGGAGGGCAAATATGTGTCTCTGTGTATGGAGTAAAGGTGATCTAGAGTTTTTTTGGCTCTAGTTGGTAGAATTTTGGTAAAACGGATTTCAGTTTTCCTGCATTAAAATTCATCAGCTACTAGGAGCGCCACCTCTGGATGTGCATTTTCTTGCTTGCTTATGGCCCTATACAGCTCGTTGAGTGCGGTCTTAGTGCCAGCATCGGTTTGTGGTGGTAAATAGACTGCTTCAAAAAATATAGATGAAAATTATCTTGGTAAATATTATGGTCTGCAGATTATCATGAGGTATTCTAACTCAGGCGAGCAGAACCTCGAGACTTCCTTAATATTAGCGTTGTTAACAAAGAGACACACACCTCCTCCCTTGAGCTTACCCAACGCTGAAGTTCTGTTCTGCCGATGCATAGAAAAACCAGCTAGATGTACGGTATATTATCCATCTCCTTCATCAGCCACGACTCTGAGAAGCATAGGATATTACAGTTCATCAGGTCCCATTGATAGGATAGTCTCGAACGGCACTCATCCAGTTTGTTCTCCAGTGATTGTACGTTGGCCAATAGAACGGAGGGTAGAGGCGGTTTATGTCAGGGTGCCCACATCTTGTTCTCTCTTACTCCACCTCCTTCTTTTCAGAGTCTCTGGGATCAGGGCCTGTTCCAGGTTGAGCAGTATGTCCCGAGCCTCCGACTCGTTAAAGTAGAAATCTTCATCCAAATCGAGGTTAGTGATCGCTGTTCTGATGTCAAGTAGCTCCTTTTGGTCATAGGAAACGATGGCGGAAACATTATGTAGAACAAAAAGTTAAGATCAGCAAAAATATATATAATCAAATAGCAGAATTGGTCAGGAGCCCGTAAAACGTCTGCTATCCATTGCAGCGCCATTCTGAGTGTCATTTATCATTGATCCCTCTGTGATTGTGGTGTTATGTCTCACCCGTTGTATAGTAGTATGGTTATTCTACTATTAAATATCAGAGTGTACAGGGATAAGATCAAACGTCAGCCGGTGGCCTGGTAAAAACAATGATTTCAAAGCCCTGCGAACACTGTCAGGACTTTAACAAGACACATCTCCCTCCCAACCAGCAGCAATGCACTCAGTTTGTCTCCAATCATCCGCAAAAACATCACAATAGCTCTTTTATCTGGGCCCCAGAAATGAGTTGCCATAGAAACAAAACTCAAGGTGGAGGCTTTAAAAACACACTTTAAAGTAATTATCTAGTGTTTCCAGATTTATTTGAAATATGACCTATAATTAATTACAATATGAGTGAAATAGTTTTTCTTCCAAAAAGTGGGTAATTAGGTATGTTAAAAATCAGCTTTTCTGTTTTGGAATTGTGTGGGTGTACCCCAACAACAGAGTGGTGTGAGCGTATACCGGTCATAAAAAATATTAATATGAGTAGACCGCTGATTGACATCATCCTTTTTGAGGAAATAGAAAGTACTTTTGAAATGGTCTGTTTGAGATTAAAGTTTGAGGTTTTTTAAGTTTCTTCTCCAATTTATGTTTTGGCCTCAAATACGAGTATAAGACGAGTCAACAACATTATTTGGGTATGAATATGAGTTAACAGAATACGAACTTTTAAAAGTGAGATTTTCACTGGACAGTTACTTTAAAGCATATCTCACCTGTGGCAGTATGAAATGGTAAAGAGGGGGACATTATTTTCTCTCAATATACTGTACCTCTAAAACCATCAGATATGTAAATGGTTCAATAATGAAAACATTTGAATGGAAATCATTTACTGGTGGGGGTGACTTCAAGGCCGTTCCACCTGTGATTAGTTTTTATTTTGCATCTTACCGATGGAGACGTGAATCAGGAGTGAGCTCACCCATATATTCACAACAAATTATTAATCAAAATAGTATGAATAATCAACAAACAGTCTCCAAACATACAAATGTGGTTTTAAAGGCGTTCTAATCCCCTGAATTTAATATAAAATAAATAACAAATAACTTGTTTACTTTCTAGTGACCTTCAATCATGCCTTAATCAGTGAGCTTAATCATTTGTCTCCTAATGTTCCCCAGCTGGGCAATAACAAGTGATTCTACATCTGATCTTAGACCTGTGACCAGATACTTGTTGCATACCAAGGGATTTATCAAGGGATGGTAGACCATGCTGGACTGTGCACACTGGCACCTGCCAGCAGCTGCAAACTCAACATACAGGTAACTGCCAGAATACAGGAAACACCAACATAGTGTCTTAATAGGGCTGTGGGCCACCACGAGCCGCCAGAACAGCTTCAAGTGTTTTCCTTTATTTGGGCAGTTACTGGTACATAGCACATAGCAACACAGTGAGAAGACGGGCAAATCCCCACTGTGAACATCATGACCATTGTCACATTGATGAATGTCTCTCCAGAGAAGAAAAAGTGAAGATGAATAATTGTTCTTTCAATCCACTTCGCAAAGGAAGCCTAGGTTTGTGTGTGCACGTGTGCGCGTGTGTGTACTTGCGCGCATGTCTGTGTGTGTTTGTCTGTGTGTGTGTGTGTGTGTGTGTGTGTTTGTGGATGCGGGCTTGGGTGACTGTGCTGGCTGTTGATGTGCAGGGCAGCACAGAATACTGATTTATAAGCAGCCTTGTAAAATGTCACAACATTAATCAGAGGAGAGAATAAAGACGTTGAATGTAGCTTTCCGCGCCAAGGGCAGCATGGCTCAAATGCACAATACATAATCACAGCTATTTCCACAAAATCACTCCAACACAACAGCTTTTGAATTGGAATTCGTTCAAGTTAAGAGAAATCGATTTGGGAAATGCTAAACATGTATTTGATATTCACTTCATGTTGTTGTTTACTCTGGCTTCCTGATAAATATCCAGTTAGTCCAATAACGTCTCCAGGAGGAGGATGCTGCTGTCTTCCCTTTATGAAACACCACTAATCATTTGCCCTTTACTATGTTGAAGAAAAACATATGCATAGAAAGAAAGAGGACTTCTGCCAGCCAAAAGTAAATGAAATACACAATGAGTTCCCTTTTAACTGCAGCAAAACACCAACACTTCTAGCACTATTAAATCCCATACTCAATACAGCACGCTTCATTAGCTTGTGGCTTTACACCCAATTATTTAGGATTAATGAGCGATTGTCTGAACGGGAAGGATTTCACTTGCAATAAGGAGTGATGGAGTTTGAAGGAAGCTAGTTCCCTCCTGAAATGTCACTCACAGGGTTAGACATGGGACCAGAGTGGCAGCCCTATCCTTTCCAGAACATTTAGATTACTACAAGGCCAGCAGTGCAGCAGGAAAAGAGACATATCTCAGGCTGTCCAAACAGAGGCGAGATTCAGAAGGTTACTTATGTGGTGGCAGAGAAAATGAAGAGTTATTAAATCTAATTGCATATCATTCCTGTTTAGGCTATATCCTGTATCTCACGCTCTCTCTCTCTTTCTGTATCTGACACCTACAGTACTTGCAATTCCCCACTAAGATACAGCAGAATACCAGTCCCTCCACTGGTCTCCTCAGCCTAGTCTGGGCCGATTGTGACTGATCAACCCCATGTTAGTTCTGCCGATGATGATGATTGATGATGATGATGATGATGGAAGAGCCTTGATGATAATGACAGTGACAGTGACAGAGGGGAGTGAACCGAGGGGTGGTGCCCACCTTGACAGCAGTCAGAAGCTGATGACCATAGAGGAGAGCATATATTACTTCCAACAGGTAGGTGATGTATAAGCATATAATTAGAAATTAGAATACTAGAATGGACACTTCTTACAGTATGATTTTCTAAAGGTCAGCCATTTTGGTCAGGGAGTTGGTCAACCATGGTTTGCCAGTGCAGTGTAAGATATTGTGTAAAATAATTAATTTGAAGAGTTTATCTGCACCCTATGTTTGTTAGCTAGCTAGCCAGACAGTTTTAAAGAAATGATTCCATATATATTTCAAATTAATTGCCAATATTTTAACATTCAGTGGTTGAAATCAGTTGATGATAGGACTTAGGAAGTTGTAAATGCAACAAGTACTGATATTGTATAATATAATAGCACTCACAGCTTTCCAAGAAAACTACAATTTTGACATTTATGGTCTGTTTACATATATTAAAGAGGCTATTTGTAAGGGTTGGTGTGAGGTGTGACCCAGGTGCGGTGCCGGATAGACAGTAGGCAGTAGGCAGAGATGGTGAAACAGGATACAAAACAACGGACTTAACACGATAAAAGAAAGGTGGAGCAAATAAGTCTCCAAAAACAGGCTGACTAGCCAAAATACAAAATAGTAACTATGACTGAAATAATAAAGAAACAGGGAGAACACTTCTCGAGTACCTGTACATACTTCTCCGATCAGACACTGATTAGTACTGCTGAGCATGGAGAAACAAGCAGAGAAAACTGAGCAAGAGAACACAAGGAAATGAGGGCATAAATACACAGGTGAACAGGTAGACACAGGTGACACCAATAGGATCATGATTAGTCCAGACTGTGAGTGAGGAGGTGCCTAAGGTTGTCGGAGGATGACACCTAGTGGGTCGCTCCGGAACTGTGACCCCCTCCTGTAACAGCTATTTATATGGAAAATTTGTTTAAAACCCATATAAACTGTATTTATAATTATATTACTATTTTAGGTTGACAATAATTATATTACACAATTTCTGATATATTACATGCCTTATCAAGATATAAAGTGAGGGAAAAAAGTATTTGATCCCCTGCTGATTTTGTACGTTTGCCCACTGACAAAGAAATGATCAGTCTATAATTTTAATGGTAGGTTTATTTGAACAGTGAGAGACAGAATAACAAAACAAAAAATCCAGAAAAAAACGTCAAAAATGTTATAAATTGATTTGCATTTTAATGAGGGAAATAAGTATTTGACTCCCTCTCAATCAGAAAGATTTCTGGCTCCCAGGTGTCTTTTATACAGGTAACGAGCTGAGATTAGGAGCACACTATTAAAGCGAGTGCTCCTAATCTCAGTTTGTTACCTGTATAAAAGACACCTGTCCACAGAAGCAATCAATCAATCAGATTCCAAACTCTCCACCATGGCCAAGACCAAAGAGCTCTCCAAGGATGTCAGGGACAAGATTGTAGACCTACACAAGGCTGGAATGGGCTACAAGACCATCGCCAAGCAGCTTGGTGAGAAGGTGACAACAGTTGGTGCGATTATTCGCAAATGGAAGAAACACAAAAGACCTGTCAATCTCCCTCAGCCTGGGGCTCCATGCAAGATCTCACCTCATGGAGTTGCAATGATCATGAGAACGGTGAGGAATCAGCCCAGAACTACACGGGAGGATCTTGTCAATGATCTCAAGGCAGCTGGGACCATAGACACCAAGAAAACAATTGGTAACACATTACGCCGTGAAGGACTGAAATCCTGCAGCGCCCGCAAGGTCCCCCTGCTCAAGAAAGCACATATACAGGCCCGTTTGAAGTTTGCCAATGAACATCTGAATGATTCAGAGGAGAACTGGGTGAAACTGTTGTGGTCAGATGAGACCAAAATCGAGCTCTTTGCCATCAACTCAACTCGCCGTGTTTGGAGGAGGAGGAATGCTGCCTATGACCCCAAGAACACCATCCCCACCGTCAAACATGGAGGTGGAAACATTATGCTTTGGGGGTGTTTTTCTGCTAAGGGGACAGGACAACTTCACCGCATCAAAGGGACGATGGAAGGGGCCATGAACCGTCAAATCTTGGGTGAGAACCTCGTGGATGGGTATTCCAGCATGACAATGACCCAAAACACACGGCCAAGGCAACAAAGGAATGGCTCAAGAAGAAGCACATTGAGGTCCTGGAGTGGCCTAGCCAGTCTCCAGACCTTAATCCCATAGAAAATTTGTGGAGGGAGCTGAAGGTTCGAGTTGCCTAACGTCAGCCTCGAAACCTTAATGACTTGGAGAAGATCTGCAAAGAGGAGTGGGACAAAATCCCTCCTGAGATGTGTGCAAACCTGGTGGCCAACTACAATAAACATCTGACCTCTGTGATTGCCAACAAGGGTTTTGCCACCAAGTCCTAAGTCATGTTTTGCAGAAGGGTCAAATACTTATTTCCCTCATTAAAATGCAAATCAATTCATATAATTTTTGACATTTTCAAATAAAATAAATCTACCATTAAAATTATAGACTGATCATGTCTTTGTCAGTGGGAAATGTACAAAATCAGCAGGGGATCAAATACCTATTTCCTTCACTGTACCTCTACTGCCATTCATTCCAATTACACTGGTTTCGATTACTCCCTGACCAATATGGCTGCCATTTTCACCCCATTCTGGAACTTTGAGGGTTTATGATATAGACCCTCTACTAATTTAATAGGATCTCTATGTGTATGACCAATACATGGCTCTGGCACTGGTGGCCCCATGTGATCATGAAAGCAAGGTGGCGACGTCGCTGTGTAATGATAATGATGAATTAGTTTGCGCTTGCCCGGAGCGGTGGGGGTGGAGGGGGTGGTGTTTAGGGGAGGCCTGTGAGTGCACGCGTGTGAAGGCGGTCAGATTTACGGCCCATGCCGTGCTAGGGAGAAGGACGTGACGGTTGACACCTGGGAGACAAGGGCGATTAATGGGCTCCGGGAGGCCCAGGGGAGAGCAGTAATGGTCTGATAGAACATGATGTAAAAACAGCAACACAATGCCACGTAAATCACTCTGCGTGGCAGCCACGTATAGTCACCCATTAATAACTGATCGGATGCATGCAAACAAAGACCTCTTCAATATCTATCTGTGATGAGACTGGCTGGGTGTCCATCTCTGCACCAGGCAGGGAGAGTCACAGAGCTGGTCACAGAGCAGGAATATA